ACAGCAGGAGCTGAAGCAGCGGCAGCGTGCGGAGGTGTGCAGGGGGAGGAGGTGCAGGGGAGGTGTCCCAGCCCCGGGCATGACCCCCTGTTCCTCACCCCTGTCCCAATCCCAGATCTACGCCCTGAACCGGGTGATGACGGAGCTGGAGCAGCAGCAGTTTGACTCCTTCTGCAAGCAGATGCAGAGCTCGGGGGAGGGGGAGTGAGGGACCCCCCACGGACCCTCCTTTTCTACCTATTTATTAGCAAATAATCCTTTTTATATCAATAAAGTCCATGCTGGCTCCTGGCTTCTGGTTACTCCGGGTGGGAATGGTGTGGGAGAGGCTGGAGCAGGGCTGGGAGCCAGAGCAGCTGCAGCACTGGGAGTCAGCTCCAGGTCCTCACCCTCTGGAGCGTGGCTCATCCCGACGTTCCCTGCCTAGGGGAAGGGTCTTGCCCTCCCCATCCTGACATTCTCTGAGCAGGGGAAGGGTCTTGCTCTCCCCATCCCAACATTCCCTGCCCAGGGAAAGGGTCCTGCTCTCCCCATCCCGACATTCCCTGCCCAGGGAAGGGTCCTGCCCTCTGGAGCAGGGATCTATCCCCGGGGACACAGCAGCTGCAGGAGCTCCCCAGAGACCCTCTGAGTGTTTCTCCAGGTTTGACCTTCGCTTCCTTCCTCCACCCACACCCTGTGTGTGCTCTCCAGCCGCCCTTGTCCGGCATCCTCCGGTTTCTCAGAGGGTTGGGATAAAATCCCACTTCCCCCTCCTCCCCGCCCTGGCGAGGTCATACCGAGGGGGTGAAAATTCACCACATTTGGGATGTTATTCCCGTGCAGCCACGGGCAAAGTAGCACATTCCAAGCTGCTCCCAGCCAGGGAGGAGCTTCCTCAGTTTTGGGGTGCGAACCTCCCTTTGTAGTACGTTCCCGCTGGGCAGTGGGAGTGATCCCTAAATTCCACCTTCCTGCACAGGGAAGGGTTTGGCGTCTCTTGGTGCACTGAGGGCAGACCCTAAATTCCCTGTTTCCCTGCACAGGGAAGGGTTTGGGGGTCTCTGCTGGGGGGGACAGGGAGGGTGTTTTGGGGCTCCCCCAAAGCAGAGCCTTTCCTGCTGCTCAGTTATTCCCCATTTTTCCCTAAATGATCTTCCACTGCCACACGGATTTGGCAGGAAGAGCAAAGGGAGACGCCGGGGAGGAAACAGCACCCAGAGAAGGAGGAGAAGGAGAAAGGCTTTACTAGGCTTTAGGTAGGGCTTAGGACTTGCAGCTCCAGATGGCGAAGGGGAAGATGATGTAGGACGTGGCCCAGGCCAGGCAGTACAGCGCAGCCACTGCCGCCGGCGCCAGCAGGACAGCCACCACCCCTGCAGAGCGGGAGAAGCCCTCAGGATCTGCTCCTCCTCCTCCCCCAGCATCACCCCAGGGGGTTTACCCCCAGCCTTACCTCCAGCATAAACCAGTTTCTTCCAGAGCTGTGACTCCAGCACCTTGTCGTGGGGGTAGAAGCCCCAGTCGGCCATGAAGAGGATCATGACGACGGCGCTGACGCGCAGCAAGGCCACATGTCCCCCGGACAGCAGGAAGGTGCCGGCCAGCAGCGATGAGGCGTAGGGGCAGGGCAGCCCCCGGTAGGTGAAGGGGATCCCTGTGGGGTGCCACAGGTTCAGTTTTGGGGGGAACACCCCAAAAATACACAATCTTTAGGTTGGAAAAGGCCTCCAGGATCATTGAGACCAACCTATGACCTACCACCTTGTCAACCAGACTAAGTGCTGTGTCTAGTGTCTCTTTAAACACCTCCAGGGATGGTGACTCCACCACTGCCCTGGGCAGCCTATGCCAGTGCCTAACCACCCTTTCCATGAAGGAATTTTGCATAATATCCAATGTGATCCCACCCTGGTACAACTTGAGGCTGTTTCCTCTTGCCCACTTGTCCCCCCCATTTGATTCCTATTTTGAAACAAAAAGGAATTAAGCATAAAGAAATAGATTCATAGTATGTTAAGGGGTTGGAATGGACCTTAGAGATCATCTAGTCCCAAACCCCCACTCTGGGCAGAGACACCTCCCACCAGACCAGGTTGCTCAAGGCTTTAGCCAACCTGGCCCTGAACACTGTCAGGGTTGGGGCAGCCACAGCCTCCCTGAGCAACCTGTGAGACTGTCTCCCCAGCCTCACAGGAAAAGATGTCCTAATATCTAATAGACCCCAGCCCCATCTGTCTTCCCCAGGCACCTTCACCCAACCAAACCACCTCAGCCCATGTTTTAGGGCTCAAGGATGTGGCCCTGGGATCCAACACTGGGATCCAGCACCAGGATCTGATAACAGGATCCCACACCGAAATCTGGCAGTGAGATCTGGCAAGTGAGAAGGTCCGCCCAGAGCCTCATTTTCTCCAGGCTGAGCCTCTCCAGCT